CAAATAACAAAGACAAGCCATTTCCCCCCAGTTTAAAAGCCTTGTGGGATTTGCTGGGGTAGGGAGGGTACGTTCCATCTGCAAACGAGAGAAATGTGTGTTCAGCTGGCTTACAGGTTGCACCAATAAGGCCTTTCCTCCCTGGTCAAATTATTCACCAAGCCCCTGCAGACCTTGCACATGTGGTTGCAACACCCGGCAAATCCCCAGGCTTCTCTTTAAAGAGGCAGCTCAAGCTTGGTCTCTCTGCGGTGCTCCCGTGCCCCCAGACAGGAGTCCTGTGGGACTGCTTCAGCACCTGCGCACCTCTTCCCTGGAAAATGAAGGTCAACGATTCCTCTTTACCCAAATCCCCCACTAGATGGTGCAGCCCTAGTGGGGTGAGCGAGGATCACGAGAAAAGTCTTTTCATGTTCATTGAAAATCCTCACTTAGGATTTCACAGTATAAAGTCTCCCTAGCTTAGTCAGCTACCTTGTTAACTCACAAGGAACTTCAGATATTTAGAATTTTAGATGTTCCCCCAAATCTAAATCTACACCCTGGTCAAGAAGGTGGTGGTGGGGGGAGAAGTACTTGTGGGGTGTTCTCAAAGAGAGGTGCTGGAACCAATTCCCTGAGATTCCTCCCCCACCTGAACCCCAGAGCACAGAGGTGTGGTGCTGATGTGTATGTGGATTTATTTTTTGGCTCTTGATTCTATTTCATTGATTCGTGTATGTCGAGGGCAGGAATGGCCACTGAGCAGGTTTTCAAACCCAGCAGACCGGGTGAAGGGGGTATCAGAGTCCTGGAGCCCTCAGTGGCTTTTTTGCAGGCTTTTATTGGGGTTTACCAGGTACACAGCAGGCAGGGGTGCCCCCAGCAAATCCTCACTCTATCTGGGCTCTCTGGCCTTCTCTCTGCTTCTTTTCTTCGCTTCAGTTCGTTCTTGGCTTCTGCTGGCGTCCCCGTGAAGCCGCCCTTATAAACTCAGTCTCTCAGCCCAGGTGTACCCACTTCAGGTGCCGCCATCAGGCATGCATTCAGGACCACAGGGTTCCCTCATCTATCCTAATGGCGGGAGGGCAGAAAAGCCTGATACTTTTTCCTTACCCTATAGTGTCCCTATATTTGTGTAGGGGCTCAGGTTTGACGGGAACTGTTATACTATAAAAAGCTCAACAATGGTTGACTTGTGATATTTCTTCACTCTGGCAGATTGTAACCCCTTGATCAGTAGCATGTAAAAGCCACATTCAACTCTAAAGACCATAATTCACAAGTGACATCAAAAATTACACAAACTATAATTCACAAGATTCAGTTCTGAAATGAGCAAGTTCGAGGTTTTCTAGCCCCCTGAGAGATGAAATCTTCCCTTTGCCCTTGGCAATCAGGGTCTCCCCCTTGCTCAAAATCCTTCAGTGCTTTCTTCTCCTTACTCCTCAGATGAACACCAAGTCCTCTGGGTGGCATGAAGGAGGTCCACTTGCCTCTTAGCTCTCTTGCCCACTCTACTTCTAGACATACTGGTTTTCTCTTAGTCCCTTGAATGCTCATATTCTCTTCCACCCCAGGACCTTTGCACATGCCACTCCCTTCTCTGCTTGTCCAGTTGAGTCCTCTTTGCCCTCCATATTCCTTTCCTTTGGGTGCCCAATGCAGACATGGAAACAAACACACGTTTGTTGGGTCCTCTGACGTATGTCTCTCTCCTAACTACTGCCTGATTTCAGGGACCTTGCCTGATCCTGCCACTGCTACATCCTGGGCTTGCCTCTGCACTAGGCGACAGGTAAATATCTGTGGCGTGACTGAAGGAGTATAATAACAGTAAAGCCCAGGCCGGCTAAAAATGGCTTCCAATTGCTACTAGGGAAACCGAACTCCATACAGACTGGAGGGAAAACCCTGCAAATATCAATAATGATTTTCCCTGAGTCCTAAGATTACAGGTGACTTTGGTTTTCTTGCTTATATTTTGCTTTCTCCCAAGTTTTAAAAATCAAGAAGCATGTGATTACCATTCATGATCAGCACAAGTGATATCAAAATATTATGATCTCAACCATCAAAACATTGTGTAGCCACACAAACTCTTTAGAAGCACAACTTCTTGTTCTTTAGGATTTATCCAGTAAACAAAACAGTCTTCTTTATTTGCTAGATATAACCTCTGGGTAATTTCAAGGGTGAATTTTTTGTATTATATATTGTATTATACATTCTACTGTAATTATTGAGTAGAATGATTTCTTGTGGCACAAATAACATAAATTATAAATTGACTGATGAATTATTACTCAGAGTAGCTGGGAGCTGATCAAGGGTGATTCTTCTAATCAGAAGAGGCTAATGAAGTCAGCAAAGAGGCAGTTTTCACCTCCTCCTGTCTTATAAAACTGGAAGATGTTGTCAAGTCTGCAGGTTTCAATTTTTCAGAGCAGGCTGTGTTCCCACAGCCCTTCTGAAAGCATAACTCCTCTCCCAAATCCATTTAAGCGCTGGGAAGAGGATTTATCTGAAAGATAGAAGTGCCCATCAAAAACCTATTCACAAAACATTTGGCAACTCATGTATCATCTGTTCTCCGGGGAGCTAATATAAACTCACCCTTCTGCAAATGCAGCCGATGCCTTCATAAATCAGTGTGATTGCTGCTGGCCGTGGCTACTTTCTCCTTAAATGAAGTCCAAGGAGCAGTGAGCAGTCAATCATTTTTATGTAACAAATGCAACTCAATTCTTGTCTATATAATAATTTTCCACATTAGTTCCCTTTTCCAAACTGTTCATATCAGTGACTCATCTCAGCGCTAATCTCAGATTCTTCTCCAACTCCCTTTTTTTTTTTTTACAAGATGGTAATAATGATCATGGTGCCACGTGCTTAGTACTGAGTGCTGGGCATAATCATCCTGTGAGGTGAGTTGTGGACAAACAGGGAAAATGAATGCAGAGTATTTAAATAGTTCGCTTGAAGTCATATAGCCAGAGAGCGGCCTGATGAGATTTCAGCTCAGTTCTGCCTATCACCCACACCTGGGCTTTTAAAAATGACTATGGTGTCAGTTTCAAAATAGAGGTCTCTGTCTCTACTTTGGCTAGACAGGAGGTAAATCTACCTAAGATCTACCCTTGCCATGATAAGGAAGAAATTGCAATTCTTTTTCTTTTTCCCACTTCATGTACTGAACAGATTTTTCTGTGTCCTTGTAGGGAGATCAAAACATAGATGATGGGCCTCCCCGGTGGCGCAGCGGTTGAGCGCCGGGTTGCGAAACTGCCCGCAGCCTCTGCAGCATCGGTTTGATCCCCGGCTGCTCCCCGGCCACCGGAGGAGAGTCCCACATGGCGCACAGACCGCCCCTGCCGCCCGCTGCTCCCCCCAGCAGTGTACTTCGGTCCCTCTGCCTGCTCTGCTCCCCGCTCTGGCTCTGGTGAATTCTCTCACCCTCCCGCGCTTCTGACTGTACCCAGTGCTTGGATAAATAAATAAATAAATAAATATTGAAAAAAAAACATAGATGAGAATCACAAAAAGAGAGGTCCATTGAGTTATTTTTAAATCTTTGGAATTTATGGTAAAAACTCTCAGAAAATTAGGAATAAAGTAGGGAACTTTCTCAACTTGATGAAAACATCTACAAAACCAGTACAGTTAACATCATACATAATGGTGGAAGATTGAGTGCAAATATAAAGGAACAAGCAAATATAAAGATTTATATTACTCTTTTCACTCTTATCAGCAGAGTACTAGGAGTCCTAGCCAGAGCAATAAAACAAGAAAAGGAAATTAAAGTCATCCAGGTCACAAAATGGGAAATAAAACTGTTCTTATTTACAGATGACATGATTGTTTATGCACAAAATCCCGAGAAACCTACAAAAATTCTTCTAGAAAGTTCAGTTAAAGTTGCAAGTATCAACAAATGAATGGTTACACAATGGTGGTATATTCATGCCATGGAATATTACTCAGCAATAAATAGGGACAAAGTAATAACCTAAATGGACTCCAGGATGAGTGGGGGAAAAACAATCTCAAAAGGTCACATATTGTATGATTCCATCATGTAACATTTTCAAAATGATAAAAATTTTTGAGTTAGAGAAGAGATTACTGGTTTCAGGATTTGGGGGTATAGAGAGGTAGTACTATGAAGGAATATCCCAAGCGAGAGCTTGATGATGGAATGGGTCTACATTTGATGGCTCTACACGAATCCACACAAGTGATAAAACACTTAGACCTGTACACACACTCGATCAATTCCCTGGTTTTGATATTGCTATCGTTACATAACATGTAATCCATTGGAGGAAACTGGGAAACCATCCCGAACACCTCTTTCTCACCACGTCCCATTTCCTGTTTTCCTATTTTGAAATTTCTTGTGAACCTACAATTATTTTAAATAAAATTTTTAAAAAATCTGTTGAGTGAGGTCAGAGAGAGACCTGTTTTTCATAGCTACAGATTTTCTTTCCGTTTCAATATTTTAACCCTTTTTAATATTTAGAAGGGTTCAAAGTCACTGTTTTTTATGATTCCTTTCTTTCATCCAACTTCCTTGGCTGTCAGTGAGCTGAGGCGCTGGACCAAACCACAGCTAACTAGAGAATAAAGTGAAAGAACATTGGGGCTAAGCCCAGGGCTTACCCTGATTCACTGCTTGGAGGAGGGTGGTGAGCTCGGAATGGCCCAAGCTCTGGAAAGGGTGAGAGGCCACTGCCTGAGACCAGCCCTCTAGGCCTGACCCACCTTCCAAACCACCCATCAGGCTGCAGGGGACAATGCAGGGGGACATGGCCGACATGGGCAGCAGAGGACAGAGAGCTCGTCCTATTTCCCACTGCCTGTGCCAGGGAAAGCTATCCATTGGCACATGGTTACTTAGGTGGCATATCACAGGGGGGTGTGTTTCAAAAGGCTGTGGGGTCCACAGAACAACCAGGATTTTTGGGAGAGGATTAGGGGATGGAGAGGGTAGGGAATGGGAGGAAGAATCTTACCTCTAAAACAAGGTCTGAGTCTTTGTGCCTGCCAATCGTAGTACTTTTATTCAGGACAAAAAAACCATCTGTGCTCTTTAGATAGGCTTTCATGCTCTCTGCTTGCCCTATATAAAGGCAGAAAAATTGCATTAGAAATTGCAGTCCTCTGACACTCAGTAATGTCATATTTAGAGGGAATGGAAGACATCATGACATCCAGGGGGTGAGTCAGCAGAGGTAGGAGTGGAGACATGGCCTTAACAAGATCACAGTTATAATTCTGCACATTTTGAAGACTATTGTTTTATTTATTTTTTATTTAATAATATCATTTTTAAAAGATTTATTTATTTACGTATAGAAGAACTGGGATGTAGGCCAGAGGTGCAGGGGGTGAGAGGAGTCACCAGAGACAGAGTGGGGTACACTGTTAAGGGGAGCAGCAGGTGAACAGGAGAGGTCTGCTGCGCCATGTGGGTCACCTCCCTGGCCTGGGATCGAACTTAAGCCTTAGTGGTGAAAATGCTGAGACATCACCCTAGGCCAACTGGGAGGCCCTGAGACAATTGTTTTACCATAGGTAAGCTTGGTTCTGATAAACAAAGGAAGCCCTTTATGTAACTCAGCACAGACAAACAATAGCTAGTACAATCCCATGGGTAATTCCTCTGATAACTTAATTATCTTCTGATCATTAAGATTAATCTTAACCTTTCCATTAAGATGAGTATGACCCATCATATATCGACTGTCACTATTCTTAACCTACCACTTACCAACTCTGAGACCTTGAGCGAGTTACTCATCCTCTTTCTATGCCTCAGTGTCCTCATCAGTAAAATGGGCTTAATAATGTCCCAAAAGGTTTGTGAGGATTAAATGCCACCACACAAAGAATAGTTTTACTACTATTCTGTCATTCATCTTGGGCATCTCCAACTCTGATCTGAGGAATTCTGATCCAAGGAATTCTAAACATTCATTTAAATTCCAAACTCTGATGCAAGGAATTCTAAATCCAAGAGCTGCCTACAAGAGCCAAGTCAGTCATTGAGGCCATGGTTATCAGTGGTACTTTCTTTTTAAAGCACTTCATTTCTTCACATACTTAGATTAAAAAAAAGGATGATTTCTAGAGACAAAGTGTCCACATGATAGCTTGGTCATATAATCAGGACTCTGCATATACCCGCCCCCACCCCGATTTTATTACAAAAATGTCAAAAACTTGGAAGAAGTGACTAACTCCTGTACACCTGCCACAAAGATACTAAATTGCTATTTTGCTACATTTATTTTATCACATATCTATCCATTTTGTTCTCCATCCATCCATCTTACATTTTGATGCATTTCAAAGTTTCATACATGTTTTATTTTAAACACAAATTTTTCAGAGGCTGCAGTAAGTTCCAGAATATTGATAGTCATTGATATGATCCTTGAATTCTGAGTTATGTCCTTCACATGTCACACAGTATGAGGTTCTCGCACGTCACCTCAAAGAATCAAAGTGTCTTTCCTTTCCTTTCCGTGGAAAGGTCACTGAAATGCAAAGTGTCGGACTGCAGAGAAAGGCAAAAATCACGTGATCAGATAGGGTCTCCAGAGCAGGGACACTGGCTGGGGTGGGGTATTTGCATTTGCCTGTCTCTTGACAGAGATATGCAATGACCAAGTCTTTAAACCAGGATGCCTGTCCTCTGAAAGGAAGGAAAGCTCTCACCCGAGGTCACGAGAAATAAAAATAAGCCACACAGTTTTATTTCATATTTGTAAACGTTTGACACCTAGGGGTGCCTCACCAACATCAATGCTTTCATACCATAAGAAGCAAATTTTAGGGGCCTCCCTGGTGGCACAAGGGGCTAAGATGCAGAACGATGAAGCTGGACGCAGCCACTGCAGCACGAGTTTGATCTCCAGCCAGGGAGCTACCCACATGGTGCAGCAGACCTCTCCTGACTCCCCACTGTTCCCCTCAGTGGTGTGTTTCAGTAGATCCGCCTGTTCAGCTCCCCACTCTGTCTCTGGTGAATCCTCACACCCCCCGCAGCTCTGGCCTGTACCCCAGTTCTTGTATACTTAAAAAATAAATAAATCCTTTTTAAAAAATAAGTAAATCTTATTAAGTTTGCTATTATTAACCTAGGGGAAAAGACATTTCCTCTTTCAAAAGTACCATGTTCTCCTGCCATCAAATCATCGGTGCCACTGGCTGGCTGGTCCTCTTTGCCAGCAACTGCCTTTCGTTTTCCCCTTCAGCGTCTAGCCCAAGTGCCTTTTTTGAAACTTAAGTTCTATTTCTTCAGCTGTCTGGTGGGACACTATTCCTCCACCTTAATTTCACTCTGCGCAGTCACTCCCCTGGCTGAAGAGAGAGTAGAAAGTAACGTGAACGTGTAAAACTCTGTCAATTCGTTCTTACTCAAAACGAGTTAACACCAGCTGTCCTGCTAGCCAAGGAGCTTCAATCACCGTAGCCCCGTGGCCACTTCCGAATGGGTCGTATGGGCCGGGGGCCGGGTGATAGCAGCACATTTTCTCTGGAGCGTTGCAAGGCCTCCAGGAAGGGCAGGGCAGGACGCAGTGTGCTGTGAACACTGGGTGGGAGCGACCCGCAAATCGCAAATCCCAAATCAGGGAACCAGGGGTGCCTTTCAAATTCCAGCTCTACCCCGCAGGCCACCAAGAATGGTTACAGAGGAGGGTCTGAGGCTCTCTCTCGGCTATCTCAGGGGAGAAGTTGAGGTCCGGGGATTAGGGGGGCTGGCTGCACCCCGGGTCTCCAAGAGGGTGCAGCCTGGGCGGGAGATGGGTTCCAGCGCCGGATAGGGCCAGGGCACCCCACCCTTCAACCTCGGACTTCGCAGCGGGCCCCAGGGCTCCCCCCCGCCGTGTCCCCCCTGGGGCGCTCACCTGGCGGGAGGAGGAGGCCCACGCTCGGTCCTCGGCCGACTCAGCCCAGAGCCTGGCCGGCTCGGGAGGCACCCGGCCCGCTCCCGGGCGAGGCCGCCCGGCCGCCTCCCGCGGAGTCTCCAGCCGGCTGCCCGCACCGCGCGCCCGCCCGGCCTGTGTACGCGCGTCGCCCGGGCAACGGGGCCGGCCGGGCAGGTGAGGGGCGTGGCCTGGGCGGCGCGGGAGCATCCGCGCGGGTAGAGCCTTCCCGCAGCCACCTGGCGGGCCCAGCCACCTGCTGTCTAGGGCTCCCCAGCCCCACTTCACAGACGGGGAGACCGAGGCTCGGAGGCCGCAGAAGTAGCTCCAGGCGTTTGGGAGGAAGGAGCAGAGGATTTGACTCAGGGATCCTTCCTGCTACCTGTGGATCCAAGCATGAGTATTCTTAGCCACTGCTTTGTGTAACTGCCATTTTAGAATGTTAGGTTTTGCTGGGAGAAGACTGCATTCCAGAGACAGTTTGGACCCTCACTCCACCCTTACTCTCCGGTCACCAGTGAGGGTGAACTTGCTGTCACTGGAGCTGCAGGTTGGAGCTGCATCTTGGCCCGGCCAGTCAGCTTAGAATGATAGCCGGGCCAAGTTGGAGAAGGCATCCTTGTAGCCAATGAGTAACTGCCAGCACAATTTGACCTTATTAAAAGACCCCTGCTTCCTTTGTTCGGGGGTCTCGGTATCTGCCACTGCGTTGGTAGGTGCCGTGAACCCGGCCTCGAGTCTGAAATAAACTCCCTTTTGTGTTTGCATCAGCTGTCTTTGGGTTCTTGGAGGCTATGCTCGCCGAGTCTGCTGACCTCGGGCACAACACTACCCTTTACTCCAGGCTGGGTGCTTTGAGGGGCCTTGGGGAGGGCTGGAAGGGCGGTGGAGCTGACCACAGGAGGAGCTGGGAGGTTAGTACCTCTGCCCCGATCAGAAAATAGAGTAAGCTGGGGAGTTGGGCCACCACTTCTGGGGCCCAGGGGAGGCAGGAGGGTAGGATGAGATGAACAATTCTGAAAGAGGAAGGTAGCCTTCCATGTGCTGGGGAAGGATGTATCCAAATCCACAACCTGACTCTCCTGTCTAAAGCTATGCAAACATCTCAAGTCCCTCCATAGTGTTAGACTGTGACCCCAGAGTTGACCAGGATCAGTTACTGCTCTTTTGATGCCCCTCATCCACAGGCACAGGACCTGGGGAGATGGAGAGTGTTGAGTAGGCATGCAAATCCCCCTAGTTCCCCACACCCCCAGGCCCCTCCTTCTGGGAGCAGAGCTGCAGCTTAGTGAACTTTGCAGAGAAGCCTCATTCCACTGGCTGACAGGTGCCTCAAGGAAAAGTCAAAACATTTTCAAAGATTAATGAAATACGACAGCTCTACTTAGGCAATTAGGAGGAAATACAAGAGAAGTCATGGGAATCAATTTGGGGTGTGCATGTGGCAAAGGTGCTCAGACATACCTAGAGGCTCGCAGAAATGCAGATCCCCAGGCACAGGCCTGGGACATTCTGATTAAGCTGGAGCAGGGTCTAGGAAGGTGCATTTGCAACACAGAGACCTTCCCCAGACCCCGCCCCTAGAAATCTCTTCTAGGCTCTCGTGCAGCCTGGAAGCTTCACCTGGGTCAGTTTCCTGAAAGGCCCACTGTAAGGTGAGGGGAGTGACCATAAAGGCTGGGGTAGCTTCCCAGGAATGGGGAGGGCCAGGCTCAGCTCCCTACGCATATTCCTACCCCAGGACCTTTGCACTCACTGTTTCTTCTCCCTTGAAGTCACTTCTCCCAGGAATCTCCTTCACCCCTTTGAATTTTCAATCAAGTATCACTCTGTTTAAAATGGTTTTATGGTTTTAAAACCAAATCGAAACAAACCATCGAAATCTGACTGCAGGGAGGGAGTGTGGAGCAAAAGGGGCTCAATGGACTACATGGAGGATTATTGGTGCTTTGGCTGTGGGTGTGCCGTGGTAACATACATGTGAAGGGGTGTGCCCCTACCTGTAAAACCATCATCTTGATAAACAAACAAACCCGATAAGCGAAAGAGTAAATAAAAGAATGAACGTGTGCAACCAAAGCAAAATTAAAACCAATACTCTACCCCTCTTCCTTTCTTCTTACCATTTATTGTCATCTAACCTACCATTTATTTATCTATTTGTTGTCTGTCTTCCTGGGCCCCACTTCTTACCTCCTTCCACCCCAAGAATATGAGCTCCATGAGGGCAGGAAATTTTTTCTGTTTTGTTCACTGCTTTATCACCTGTATCTAGAACAGCAAAGGAAGGGGGTGGGGGAGAAAGGAGCAGGGCCTCACCCCAGGGCATGGTTTCCCCAGTCAGCCGCTTAGGCAGTGGGCCCCACAGGAGGCCTGAGCACCCCCATCCTCACGCTCCACATCCACGCTCCTCTGTCGGGCTTCTAACTTACTGCCAGGCCGTCCCTAACAAACCCAGTGTGACGTGAGCAGGAGCAGTCACATCCCTGTTGGCTTCTGGAGGGCAAATGTGTCGGTTAGTCCATCTCTCAATGGAGAAACCCAGAGCAGGCCCTCCGCCCCCCCAGCAGAAACAAGCAAATCATGACTGTCAAATCCTCCAGGAGGTGGTATCTCAAAGGGTGCATAAAATGTTTGAAACCCTGTTCCATGGAACCCATTTAAATTTCAAAAACAGAGTAAAAAGCCCCGGGACTTTTGGCTTTTTGGACTCATTTCCTGGCCTGTGCTGATGGCCGAGCCCCGCCTTCTGCAGCTGCCCCTCTCCTTAGCCCCTTGCAACAAAGCAATGACAGACTATTAAAAACACCTCCCCCAAATTAAAAGTAGAGGGTTCTAGATGATTTGGGTTCTGGGGTGGAACCCGCCATAGATCCACCTTATCAAGGTTTGGGGGCTGCCAAGACCACACTGCATGTGGACACCGGAATAGCCGGTGTGGGGGGCCCTGGGTGGGTAGCTCCTCTCATCACAGCAGGCTGAGTGACTTTAACAGGGCTTTCCCCAACTCCTGGTCTCTCAGGCCTTTGCGTGGGTGTCCCATTTAATCCTCACAATAATCCTGGGTGGCAGGTGCGTGAGACCCCAGAACACAGGGTGCCCCAGAGCAGCTGCAGAAATGCCAGCTGTGATGTCATTCCAATTCAATCACTCCCATTTTAGCAGGAAAATAAGGCTCAGAGACAGAGTGGAATGTGCCCAGGGGAGCACAGCCAGAAAATCTGGCAGGACTGAATCTGGGCGAGTGTAGCAGGGTAGGTATTTCCCCTGGGGACTATAGGTGGCAGATGTCACAACCACAAGACACCTGCTTCCCTCACCTCCAAGCAGGTGGGGCTCCTATGTGCCCCATAAGCCTGGTGCTGCCTGAGGCATGAGGGGAAATGGACCAAGGCCAAGAGAGTGAGAAGGCTGGGCCCCAGACCCTGTGCTTTGCTCGTGTAGGCCCTCTGTTCCTGAGAAACCCCTCTCACCCCAGCACCTTCCCTGGGCTGCCCCCGACTGGGAAGAGCCAGCCCCGTGCCCCTGCCAGACACGCCTGTTGGTTGTCCTTTTCTCCTTGCTTTCTAGTATGAGAAGAATGCTGGCCTCAGGCCCAGCCCTCCTTGCTCCTTCCTGCCACTGGGAGAGGTAGGGAGACTTGATTAGACTGTGTAGGGTAAGAGAGAGCCAGGAAAAGAGTGGGAACAGGAAGAAGAGAGAAAGGGACCATGGGATGAGCAGAAGCAGCCAAGCTGTTGAGTAGGGTGACAGATGGGAGAGCAGAGGGCCCTCTAGAAGCTCCACAGTCCACCAATAACCTGACCCTAAGAGAGAGTGCAGACCATGTCTCTGCTAAGGGGTTAGTATCCAAAACATGTGAAGAATTCATTCAACTCAAGCGCAAAACCCAAACAATTTAATTTCAAAAATGGGCAAAGGACTGATAGATTTCTTTTTTGAAGATATCCAGATGGCCCGCAGCTATATGAGTAGGCACTCAACACTGCTAATTATTAGGGTAACCAAATCAGAAGCGCAGTGAGGTATCACCTCACACCCATTAGAACAGCAACTATCAACAAGACAAGATGTAGCAGGTGTTGGGGAGGGTGGGGCATGAAGGAAACCCTTGTGCACTGTTGGTGGGAATGTAAATTGGTGCAGCCACTAGGGAAAGCTGCATGGTGATCCCTCAAAAAGTCAAAAATAGAACTACCATGTGACCCAGTGATTTCACCTCTGGAAATGTATCAGAAGAAACTTAGACACTAACTTGAAAGATATCTGCACTCATTTATGCAAAAAGTTCTTAATAAAATGGGTAGAGATGGTATATACTTCAACATAATAGAGGCAATATGCTACCAATATACAGCCAATATCGCATTTTTAACAGTGAGAAACTGACGC